AGAGATGACAGCAATCATGGGAAGGCACAATCAAAGGGACCGACACTTTCTACAGCCAAGGATCCCACTCCTCTGTCGTCGGACTCATCCTCTAATGAATATGAAGAGGCCACTAAGGTACCACCAGTGCTCGTACATGTTCCATCAGATACTAATTTTGAGCCTGAAGATGAGCCTCCACTTGTTCGCCATTCGGCTCGTGCTCGTGATAATAGGTCCATTGCTTTGAGAAGTGTTTATATTTTATTATCTACGGCGAATGGCAGGCTAATGATGTTATTAAGGAGCATCAAGGTATTTTTCCTCTTATTCATGTTGTTGATCTTCTTCACACTGCTTATCCTATTCACAAGTTTTTCCCCAAGTTTTTCTTAAAATTTATTCAAATTTGACCCATGTTATCTTTGATCCTAATTCCCCTTCATACCATAAAGTGTTCTTTCGCAACCGTGTTCTTGATTTTTCTCTTTTTGTGATTGATGATCTTTTTCAAATTCCCACCAATATCTCTTTTATTGATGACATCAATGATGATCATATGGTTGTTACCATCTCTGGGGGTTCGATTACCAAATGGACTAGAAGCTATATGACCGCGCGTCGCAACACGGTCAAAATATAATATTTATTTTCCTTAACCAACTTCTACCAACTAGCAGTAGTAGTGAGCAAGGGTCGAACCCACAGGGAGTGTGGAATTTAATTGTAATTATTTTCTTTAATTGAAATCATAATAACACTAATAAAAGGGGGAATTATGGCGAAAATTAATTAACTAATAGAAATATGAATGACGGAATGAACACGAATGCAACAAATAAAGATGATAATCAAATAAATGGGAAAGCTTCTAGTCCACGGTTCCGTCTACACCCTCGACTGACTCGTCTAATTAATTTTAGTATCAGATTTCGCTATCTCTTGGAATTACTAGCCCTAGGTAACGACACGGTCTGTTACCTGAATTTTTCCTTATTTTTAATTTAACCGCGAGACGCTCGGCGATTAAACCTGACTTCTTGTACAGTCCTTTTCAAGATTTAATACAATTAGCCGCTTTAAGAATTAGAAACATAGGCTAGACTAATTAGTGAACTCAACTGCGTTCGTTCACTTCATTAGGCCGTGTTATCCCCGGTAGTTACCATCTTCCGGTTACCTCTTATGAATTAAACACAACAACAATTACAGATTGCAGGCCTAATTCAGATGTAGATATGAAAAGCCTAATCTAGGTGATCAATCTAAATAAGACTAACACATCATGGTGAATTATTCAAAATAACACAAGCAATTCCAAAAAGATATTAAAATCATCAACCAAATAATCAATCAAGACATAGTCAATCGTAGGGTTCGACTTCCCCGGAACTAGAATAAAAAGACTACTCACTCATAGTGTTCAATAACATAATCATGAATTTAATTACACAAGAAAGAAAAAGAAAAGAGAATAGAATAAAATTCTTCTCTGTTCCAATTGCTGCGATCAGTTTTTCTTCTTTTTCCTGTTTCCCAAGCCTCAGCCGCAATGTCCCCGGTCAAAAGAATGAATAATTCCTCTTTCACGCAAGTCTCCTCCTTTATATATATATCCTTTCCTTTCTTGTAATTATTTTATGTCTCTCTCCTTCTATTTCCAAGTAAAATCAAGTAATATAATGAGTGGGCCTTTTTCTTCATCCTTTCACCATCACACGTGGCCCACCTCTTCCAACACAAAATATGTAGGCCCAATTATATTAATTTCTCTAGGCCTTTTAATCGTGAATTGTTTGGGCCTGCTACAGGAGTACGGGGCCTGCTGGTTCAGTACGGGACACCCCCGTACTCACTGGAAACTCTTCTTCGACCTTCTTCCGAGCATCCACACCTCATTGTGCAACAGAAACAGCTCCAAAAATACTGAAAATCACTCAAAAACTCATCAAAGCACGAGAGTTGACCATAATATCAAATAAGTCGAAAGATGCATAAATGTGGAGAATTAACCGTGCACAATTGTAATATTAGATGATTAAATGTAAGCACTTATCTCGACTAATCAAACCACCCCACACTTGAACGATGCTTGCCCTCAAGCATCATGCCAAATTCGTCATATCAAATTGTAATCACACCCTTTCCGTCTCCTTTGCCAATTCAAAATAATTTTGCACACAAGAAAACCACTTATGGTGAAATCCTCATATACCGACATCAATGACACATATTCTCAACAACCAATCAATATGAAATGCAAACGAGGATCAACACATCTCACAAGATTCGCTCAAACTCTCCAAGTGTATAGGCTAAAGATATATATAAGTGAACGCTCAAGTCACAACACAGAAAATCTTTACCATAAGCTTGCCATTGCATCACGCCCGACTATTCAAGAATGAACATAGATTCACAAACATCAAAGGGTTTATAGCAAGGTTGTAATGTAGTGTATGGGTAAAAATGGCTAGAGGTATTGACAAGCGAGAAGAATAATAAACAAACCAAAGCAATCGTGCAAACCCTGTCCGAAAAGAGCTCAAAACACAAGCATACTACCCGCAAGTGATAAAGAACTAACTATATCCCAATTCCTAGTGATTTCAACTCATCTCATTATAGCACAATCGTCAAATGTAGGGAGGAAGACAGGTCAGATAAGAAACAATCAATCAGGTCCATTCATTCACCAACACTTCGACCACACATCTCCCTTTAACCAAACAACGACTTCAAACACACATCCTTTCTTCTAACAAATAACCCCTGCTCAACTTGCTCAGAACACTCAATGTCAAAACATACAACCCCACAGCCCATAACTCACAGCCCATTTACACACCCCGAGCAAACAAGAACCTCTGCTTAAATTAGACAAAAATTTACACGATCACTCGATTCAAAGGTTCAAACAAGAAATCAACAAAAGGTCACATGGCATGTAATATGGCTATCATTCAAAGAAAAGGCTCAAGCTCAAGGGGGCTAACTAATGGATAAGAAAGGGGTTCGATTTAAAAGAAAACAAGAAGAAAGGCTACACAAAATAGGTTCATTCCTAAGTACCCTTATCAATCATGTGCATCCATATTCATCAAGAATCAAACATAAACGTGTATAACAAGGCAAGTTCTAGAAAGATCAACCAGTCGTGACATCACACAATCAATAAAAAGAGCATTATAGTCAGTGTATGCTCATTAGCTCAAGCCTCACAACAAATAGGGACAAATTGTGATAATCCTCGTGCATTCGACTATTAATGATCATTGGAACAATCAGCCAATCAATATGCAGCAAACAAGGATTCCAAAAATTTTTGCACACATCAAAAATATCAAGAACCGGCATCGGAAAGAGAATCAAGCACAATCACAAATGACATTCCAAACAAGACTCGACACCGTCAGACAATCATCAAATCAGACTCTAACTCTAACTCCAGACAAAACAGGGCAAATCAAAATCAAAATCACAATAAACAGCAATATATAGGGCAGCCAACAACCAGCCCCACCCCACACTTAAAAATTGGCGTTGTCCTCAACGTCATAACACTAAGAATGCTTCTAACATAAAAATAGAAGGAGTTATCGGACTTCCCTCGTTATAGGTAGCATCCTAGTGCGTGCCGGTGTGTAGCGTCAGTCAGTGGGAAGGTGTTGCTGCTCGCTCCAACTCCTCGACCCTATGATGTGCCTGCAAGAGCCCGCTTAGGCCCGAGTCCTCCGGTGAGCCTCGGGATCGGCTAACGGGTGTCCCGGATGCTGTCCGGGATGAAGTTCGGGTGACTGGCAGCGTGGGCTCGTCAGCCGGTGACTCGGTTGAAATGGACGGGGGTTGGTTTGGTGTGATCGGGCCCGTTTCTGTGTTGCCGTTGAGGGAGTAGCCGGCAGGGACTTAGGTGGTGACGATTGTGCGGCCGCTGATGGCGATGGAGGGTTCAGCGACTCGAAAGTGGACGGCGGCAGTGCGGTCGCATATTTCGGTCCGGCCGGTAGCTTTGCGGCGCCGATTTCGGTCGGGCTGACGGCTTTTCTGCTGGTGATTCTGACTCAGCCGACTAAGGTGTTGACGGCGACTAAGGTGCTGCTGGTGATGTGGACTGAACCGGAGATGACGGCGTGGGCTTCAAAGCAGACAGTAGCGGGGCAGGCGGCGATGGGTTCGCCGGGTTCGAGTCGGACGACGGTTGTCCGGGCGATTTGGGCACAGCCACGAGAGGGGTGTTGCCGATTTCGACGGGAGGGTTGACGGAGATTCGGTCAAGGGCACCGGCGAGGTTGACGGGGCCGGCGATGGTTCTCCGATTGCGGCGGTGCAGGCGGCAATTCAGCGGCGTCCGACGGTGACGCTGGTTGCGATTGAGGTGGTGTGCCGCCGCCTCGCGAAGGTGACCTCGATCTGAAATCCATCTGCTTCATTCTCGCCATGATGCTCTCTCGATTTTTTTCTCAGATTATCCGTCGATTTGCTGTTCAATTATCCGCTCAATTCTCTCAGAATTTTGATCGCCGGTGACGTTTGAGACGATTCTGGAAGTGGTGCAAGACACACCCTTTGTACACAAGTCAACGGCAATTGGGCTGTGAAGGTATTGTTGGGCCCAAAAATTAATTCTCCAATTTTTACTGGCCCATTATAAGGTTAATCACCTTAACTTGATTCCAGCAGCCTATTATTCAACATCCTCCACGAAATCGACTGGCCTGCTTAATTATAAGCTCCCAGCAACATGGAATATGATACTTTGCCTATCATAGAAATCCCCTGCAGCAATAACACAAAGAAAACAGGAAGAAACAGTATCAGACTTCAACATGCACAGAAAGCAAACAGAAAAAAAATCTTCTTTCTCGTGTATTATTCATTTTATTCAATAAATAGCAAATAAAAACTACTAAAGCTAATAATAATAATAATAATAATAATAATAATAATAATAGTAATAATATTGGGTTGCCTCCCAACTAGCGCCTTTTTTTAACGTCGTTGGCTCGACAATGTACTCCCCCTTAAACTGACTGAGGAACATCCAGCTGGACTCGTTCCATATCGTCGATTCCAAATTCTCCATAATACGGCTTAAGCTTATCGCCGTTCACCTTGAATATTTTACGCGACTTCTTCGGAACCACTTGCGTCGTGCTCACCAAACGGCTATCCGGGCTCGGATAAATGACTCCCACATCCAACAACTTTATGATTTTATTTTTCACCACCTCCATCATGGGTGGATTTAGCCGTCGTTGCGCCTCCCGAGAGGGTTTAGCATCTTCCTCGAGGAGAAAACAATGCATGTAGATGGACAGACTCATTCCTCTCAAATCGGCAATGGCCCAATCGATTGCTCGTTTGAAATTCTTCAACACTTCAATGGGGGTTGCCATCTGGTTAGGCTCGAAACTCGATGACACTATAACCGGGGGTGGTCGATCCATTCCCCAATAGGCATATTTCAAGTGGCTCGGCAAGGATTTCAGCTCATGTTCCAGTGCCTACAAAGTAGAAGGAACAATTTTCTTATCAGGTTCAGGTGGCCGAATAAAATTTTTATCATGATTTTCAAGATATGGTTTCAGTGTATTCAAGGCTGTTACGGCCTCCTCGAGCAGCCCCAAGTGATTTAAAAATTCGGGTTTATCACTATCCCTCTGCAACCCGAGTACTGGGGCACCCCGTACTCCTGGGAAGGTACCCCGTACTGCTTGATTTTTATCGAAACCTTGTGAAATCACAAGCTCCAGCTCACCGTCCTTATAAGTGTCGTGAAAATCCTGTGTCAACGGTTCAATACAATCAAGTATATAAACACAATGGTCAGAATCAGGAAGTTTCATGTCATCAAAAATATTAAATCGAATAACATTGCCATCGAACTCCATTGTGAGAGTGCCTTCACGAACGTCGATTTTGTTTGAGCGGTGTTCAAGAACGGTCGCCCTAACAAAATCGGGGCCGACATAGGAGTCCTGTCATTCATACTCAACACATAAGAGTCAGCGGGAAAAATGAGCTCATTAACCTTAACAAGAACATCCTCAATTACCCCATCCGGGAAAGTAGTACTTCGGTCGGCAAGTTGAATTACCACCCGAGTTTCTTTAAGAGGACCCAAATTTAAGGAATCAAAAATAGAGCGAGGCATAACATTAATTGATGCTCCCAAATCGAGCATGGCTCGCTCGATTTTTAAATTACCTATGGTGCATGGAATCGAAAACATACCTGGGTCGCTTCTCTTTTGGGGCAAATCCTTCTTAAATATTGCCGAGACGTTCTCTCCCATCAGAACCTTCTCATTCCCTTGCAGCCTTCGCTTGTTGGTGCATAGGTCCTTCAAAAATTTGGCGTATCGAGGGACTTGCTTGATTGCATCAATGAGAGGAATATTGATCTCGACTTTTTTGAACACATCAAGAACCTGCTTCTCAGCGTCTTCTTTTGTTGCCTTTCGTACCCTGGATGGAAACGGTAGAGGTTCGGGTTTCAGTGGAGGGCAAACCGGGTTGCCTTTGCGTCTTTCAATATCTGCAGGCTGAGTACTGGGTGTCCCCGTATTCTGCTGCTCGGCCCCATATTCTGCTGACAGACCCTCTTTTTCACTTTCATTCTTCTCATTTTGAGTCTTCGGGGCTACTAGTTCTTTCCCACTCTGCAAGGTGATGGCACTGACATTTTTAGGATTGATCTCAGGTTGAGATGGAAGTCGGCCCCCGAGTTGTGCATCTATTCGAGTCATATGCTCCGCCAATTGACTCATTTGTCCCTCTAAGTTCTTTGTCCTCAATTCCTGATTCTTGATGCTCTCTTGAACACCCTGCTGAAAGTTCATGGAGCTAGTTGCAAGTGTCCTGATCATCTCTTCTAAGGAAGATTGTGGCATGGAGCTCGGTGGACCGTTACCCGCTTGTCGTGGAAAGTTTTGGCCTCTTTGAAAAATTTGGGGTGGCCGATTGTCTTTCTCTGCATACACTCCCCCTGACGGATTCCCATATCGAAGGTTGGGGTGATCTCTCCAACCGGGATTGTAGGTGTTGGAGAAAGGGTCATAGTTTCGACCCGGCCCGTTGTTGGACCCTATCGTGTTCGCTTGTGCCTCCACCTCACCATTGATTAACGGGCAATTGTCCGTAATGTGATCAGTCGTCTCGCAACGCATGCAGGGTTGCACCCTGGGAAAACCTTCCGTGGCTAATTTCCGGACAAAAGTCGTCAACTCTTTAACTTGGGATTCCAAGGCACCGATACCAGCCTCATTAACCGACTGAAAAGATGCTTCTCGAGTGCCAAATTGCTGTGAGTTCGCTGCCATATTTGCTATCAGATCCCTTGCGGCCGTTGGTGTCTTGTCCATAAGAGTGCCTCCACTTGCCGCATCGAGCATGTTCCTATCCATGAGGGACAACCCCTCGTAGAAGTACTAAATTAGCAGCTCCTCTGTCATCTGGTGTTGGGGACAACAAGCAATGAGTCTCTTGAATCTCTCCCAATACTCGTATAGCGTCTCTCCATGCAATTGCTTGGCACCACATATCTCCTTACGCAAATTCGCAACCCTCGATGCCGGAAAGTACCGTTGGAGAAAAGCTTTCTCCATGTCAGCCCACGTGGTGATGGACCCCGACGGTAAGTAGTATAGCCAATCTTTGGCTCGGTCCTTCAATGAAAATGGAAACGCCCGAAGCTTGATCTGCTCCTCAGTCACCCCGGCAGGTTTCATTCCGGAGCACACGGTGTGGAACTCCTTCAGGTGCATGTGTGGGTCCTCGCCTGAGAGCCCGTTGAATGACGGCAATAAGTGTATCAGGCCAGACTTAAGCTCGAAGGTGGCGTCATTCACCGTCGGAAATGTTATGCACAAGGGTTGTTGAAGAAGTCGGGGGTTAGCTAGTTGCCTTAACGTACGTTCTTGATCTCCCGCCATTGCTTCTTCCTCACTCGAAGAATCAGAATATTCAGCGTTGTCGGGCTCGCTGGAAGAACTATGGTAATCGGTAATCTCCGGATGGTCTTGCTCTCGGTTTTCTTGCGATTCCTTTGCCAACCTTGCTCGCCTCCAATTCTCCTTATCCTTCCTTGTGATTTCTGGGTTGTATGTCAATGGTTTATGTCCAGAAGATCTCGTGTTCATTCACCTGAAAGACAACTGAAATTATAAGTACCGAATGCAGCAAGATATGTCGAAAGAACCGAGTTTCACACCTATTCTGCACAGCGAGTATGGGGTCTAATTATTCTGTTTGACAGAATATGGGGAGACCCTGTACTACTGGGAACAGAAATTAAGAAGAAATAAAAAGGGAACGGGGGGAATTCGAACTGAAACTAAGAAAATAAAAATAAAATAATTATGAAAACTAATCCTAATTTCGATTAATGGAAAAACAATTAACAACTCAATTCCGTTACTCCCCGGCAACGGCGCCAAAATTTGACCGCGCGTCGCAACACGGTCAAAATATAATATTTATTTTCCTTAACCAACTTCTACCAACTAGCAGTAGTAGTGAGCAAGGGTCGAACCCACAGGGAGTGTGGAATTTAATTGTAATTATTTTCTTTAATTGAAATCATAATAATACTAATAAAAGGGGGAATTATGGCGGAAATTAATTAACTAATAGAAATATGAATGACGGAATGAACTCGAATGCAACAAATAAAGATGATAATCAAATAAATGGGAAAGCTTCTAGTCCACGGTTCCGTCTACACCATCGACTGACTCGTCTAATTAATTTTAGTATCAGATTTCGCTGTCTCTTGGAATTACTAGCCCTAGGTAACGACACGGTCTGTTATCCGAATTTTTCCTTATTTTTAATTTAACCGCGAGACGTTCGACGATTAAACCTGACTTCTTGTACAGTCCTTTTCAAGATTTAATACAAATTAGCCGCTTTAAGAATTAGAAAAATAGGCTAGACTAATTAGTGAACTCAACTGCGTTCGTTCACTTAATTAGGCCGTGTGATCCCCAGTAGTTACCATCTTCCGGTTACCTCTTATGAATTAAACACAACAACAATTACAGATTGCAGGCCTAATTCAGATGTAGATATGAAAAGCCTAATCTAGGTGATCAATCTAAATAAGACTAACACATCATGGTGAATTATTCAAAATAACACAAGCAATTCCAAAAAGATATTAAAATCATCAACCAAATAATCAATCAAGACATAGTCAATCGTAGGGTTCGACTTCCCCGGAACTAGAATAAAAAGACTACTCACTCATAGTGTTCAATAACATAATCATGAATTTAATTACACAGAAAAGAAAAAGAAAAGAGAATAGAATAAAATTCTTCTCTGTTCCAATTGCTGCGATCAATTTTTCTTCTTTTTCCTGTTTCCCAAGCCTCAGCCGCAATGTCCCAGGTCAAAAGAATGAATAATTCCTCTTTCACGCAAGTCTCCTCCTTTATATATATATCCTTTCTTTTCTTTTAATTATTTTATGTCTCTCTCCTTCTATTTCCAAGTAAAATCAAGTAATATAATGAGTGGGCCTTTTTCTTCATCCTTTCACCATCACACGTGGCCCACCTCTTCCAACACAAAATATGTAGGCCCAATTATATTAATTTCTCTAGGCCTTTTAATCGTGAATTGTTTGGGCCTGCTACAGGAGTACGGGGCCTGCTGGTCCAGTACGGGACACCCCCGTACTCACTGGAAACTCTTCTTCGACCTTCTTCCGAGCATCCACACCTCATTGTGCAACAGAAACAGCTCCAAAAATACTGAAAATCACTCAAAAACTCATCAAAGCACGAGAGTTGATCATAATATCAAATAAGTGGAAAGATGCATAAATGTGGAGAATTAACCGTGCACAATTGTAATATTAGATGATTAAATGCAAGCACTTATCTCGACTAATCACTATATGCTCTTCAGTGACTTCACACTCCAAACCAATTTTCTTCACAAGATTGATGTATGGAATTGGCTCCCTACTGTTCACCCCCAGAATGTTCCACAAAATCTTTGCCAACTAATTTATTGGGTCATGACAGAGATGCTTTTAACTTTGGTCGTCTTGTGTTTGAACACATTGTTTCCATTGCTAAGCAAACTAAGAGTCATTGGGTTCTTCCATTTTCCTCTCTGATTTAGACATTTGTCGAGCGTTGTGGCATAAAGCTTAATCCTCATTTCGGGGACGCGTTGAGCACTGCTCCACGACCCCTTACCATTAGTGCGAATTTTGTGCATTATCCACTTGATGAACCTTCTGTTAGTGATATAGTGGAGATGCTGTGTAACAAACTAATATCTACTTTTGGGTGTCTTTTGGATATTTGGTTTGTGTTGTGGCATGGTTTATGGTCGTTGCTTGAACAATTGCTTTTTATGTTTTTGCAGGATGAAAGAACCGGTGTGGTTTTTCATGCTTTTTGGATATTATATTTGTTGATGCTTAGTAGTATTATATGAATGGATATTTGTCTTATTGCATGAAATGTTTAATTAGGATCTGTTTTGATTTATTTTGCATGGGAACTTTGATTGATGTTCTTATATGAATAATTTGTCCTTATTTTGATATTTCTTTTGATTTAACTTGTTTTTTGACTACAGGAAATAGTGTTTTCGAACTGAATGTCAAATGAGGAGATTGTTAGGATTCTGAATTGGCATAATTCGAATAATTTCTTTTTTATTTTATTATATTCTTTGTAGGCCATTCAGAAAGGAAGCAAAGACAAAACAAAGGGAAGTTTAATTTATTTGTTATGTTTCCTTATGTTTAATTTACTGAATATTGAGTAGGATATACTGAATACTTGTTTCCTTATATATTGTAGGAACACACTGAAGATGATGTGGACACGCCATGAAGACGGGAAGGTGGCATGAGCACTTATGTACAGAGAATCATGAAGGTAAGAAATCGCTGGTACAAATCCGTCGATCTCGCATATAAGAAAAGTCGTGTTTCTACATGCCTTCAGACCTTTTAAGTTAAAGACAATTTTGGAGATAACGAAGACCTGAAGAAAGCTTACCAACAATGAAGATTTTGAATAGCTTTACCAAAGAAGGATGCATACATATTCAGAATTCTTCACCATTGAATTGTAACGATTGAGAGAGAAAGATCTCGAGACATTATGAGTTTTTGAGATATTAATTTTGATTTTATTTCATAGTCACAGTCGAACTTTAAGTTCATATTTTTTACGAACTGAAAGTGTTTGTATACTTGTAGAGGGATCCGCGATAGGTTTTGTAGACCACGAGTTTTCCTGAAAAATAGCTATGGAAATGAAGTGTAGAGAAAATTAGATTAGAAGGGAGTTCTAATCTCATAAATTCGTACTACACTACGTGTGCACAATCATTTTCTAATGAAAGAGTTCTGAGGGCAGTGAATGGTTCCTGAAGATAATTTTTATAACTTGCTTATGCTTTTGTGTCGTTACATTAATTCTCACTCATACGAAAAATAAATCTTAAAAATCATAGTCTCAAATAAGTTAAGTATCTCATAATTTTATAAGACTTTTTAAAATCTCAAATGAATAACTTTAGACTTTTAAAAGTATTAAAAAAATTTAAAAGACTAAATTAAATAAACTAGCATTTCTGATGTCTTTAAATTTCTTTAGAAATACACAACGAACTTTTCATTTTCATTTTAAATTTTTTCCCTTCTAAGTTCTAGCATGAGATCCCACAAAATGCACAAGAAACACTCTTGAAATAATTTATTGCATTTAATGAAGTCGTCGCTCACAATAACCATATAAAATGGAGATATATCATTAATTATATGTATATCTACTGAAATAATTTAGGAGGAAAATGTTTTGTTTGGTCCTTGGCTTGGTTCAACTGAAGACCATGTTGTGACAAGTTTTGTCGCATGGGTACGGGCAGTCGATTTCCTTCACATTTGCTCGATTGAAATACCAATCTCCAACAGCTTTTGCAATTGCCTGCATGTATATATTGTGGCAGAGATAAATATAAAACCATGTAACCTCATAAACCATCTTCAGAAATTTATTGTTTACAATTTTGTTAGATCAAAATTTCAACTATAAACACTATCATAAGTCTTGTGTTTTCTGTAAATATTAGTTTTTGTTTTATAACGCTTTTACTCTATTGCAATTCCAACTGCCTAAGTTCTAGTCTCCCAAAACACCATTGGCATCTTCAAAGGCCTAAAATTTACAAGCCTACATTGCCAAACACCAAAAGCTACATGCGTAATATTTATATACGAACAAGTTCAAATTGTCAATAACTATAAATTAAATATATTTTAACGGGTAACAATCACAACTTATCCAGGAAGTGGTGGAATAACACATACACATAAAGAAAAAAAAAAAGGAAAATATATGGTATTGATTAATATTTTGTACCTTGTTGCCAATAAGTGGAGAGTTATTGGAGAACCATGTGTCCTGCCTCTCAGATTGACAGTGAGAAAAACAAGAATTTATGAACAATCCACTTTGCCCATATGCAATTAACCCTTTAACTCCATTCAACATATGATTCCTAAAACCTGTTCCAAAAGTTACGATTAGTCGATTAGCCTTTGAAAAATATAAAAAAAAGAATATAAATACAGAACATGTCCTTAAAAACACTGAATAGAAGTATCACCTTGTAAAAATTGGATATTTGACTGTGAACATTTGTTGATGTTCTTTTTACATAAGGCAAAGGTGCCATGAGGATCGGCTGATGCAGGAGCCAAGCTTTGTTGGACCTGAACATGGTCGTCAAGAGAAAAAAAGAAAAGAAAAAAATGGAAAAAAACTAAAAAGGTCCTTGCAACTTGTAACTTTCCTGTCAAGCCAATACTTAAGCACCAAAAATAAAAAAAATAAAAAAATCACTCACTTGCCATGTATCATAGGCAGCGTTGAGAATAAACAGTGGAGTTTTTATTTTGAGGATTAGATTCTCTGGGAAGAAGCACTGGTAGCAAAACAAATACAATTAATTCAACAAAAAAAAAAAAAATCATACATTTGGCTAACAGAAAAAGCTAATTCGGCCTACCGAAGTTGGATCCAAGTGGCAAGTTTTGGGCAAGTTTTTAGCGGCACCCTGTATAAAAAATTAGTCATTTAACTTTACTAAAACCTGTACTTACTAATAAGTAATAAGGAATTAGTTACTACTGATTACATGTAGGCTGACAACACCCGCATAGAAATTTCTGAGTGTGTGCCCACCAGAAACATCAACACTGGAATGCAATGGAAAAAAAGATATGATCGAAATCAAAGAATACAATACAACCCTTGAGTAACATAATATATTAACCAAGACATATAATATAATATAAAACATAAATGTAGCATAAAAGAATTAGAAATTTACGCATCCAGAAATAATCCAGCATCACTAAAGCACTTCACTTTGGTAGTTGCAGGAAATAAATCTCTAAACTCGTCACAGTGTAATATAGTTGATAGTCCACCAGCCGAACAACCAGAGAGAAGGGCCTGAATCAAACATTACATTTTAGTTTTAAATAAATAATTAAAAGAAAAAAAAGATTGATCATGTTACATTAATGATTTTACTTGATTGGCATTTCTCAATCCCTTGGACATTAGGTCTTCGATTGCGGCTTGCCATATGCGTTGCCCTCTAAATTGCAAACCTGCACCCTAAATTAACATGGTTCACATTGACAAATCAATTACGCTTATTCCTTTTATTTTTTCAATAACATTGGAATAAAAAGTGATGGAAATATAATAAACGATGAAAATGTAAACCTTATTTTCGCTATCTCCGGAAAAGGAGCCTCCATCACAATAACGAATCTTAACTCTGTTCCAATTAAAAAAATCTGCATACGTAATATTTGAACGAAGAAAAATTACCCAAAAAAAAAAGGGTTATTCAAAAGAGTAAAGAAAGGTAAAGGTACTCCAAGTGACAAGCAAATGAAACCTCCATGAATGTTCCAAATTCGAACCTGGGTTTTGCGAAGCCTTGTCGCTGAGAATCCCCGTGAATGGAATTTCTTTTTCGAAGTAATTTGATGAGCCGCGTTTCATCTTTTTGCGGTAAACGCATGTTCTTATGTTATTGCACCACCCCCCACCCTGCCACAAATAAATAATGATAGTGTTCAAGTATGAATAGTTTTCAAAAAATTAGATTTATTTATGAAATTGTGTAAGATTTATTTTTGAGCAAGACTTCTAAAATAAAATAATATCTATGTTTTTCTTGCAAGTCAAAGAATTGAAGGGAATATCTATTCTCTCTGTCATTTAGATATTTATTTAAGTCTAGATACTATTTTGTTAAATATGATAAGTATATAGGGCAAATTTCTTTTTCACCCTTTTCACTCCGAAATAAGTGAAGGTGAATTCGAGTGGTTCACGTAGCTGTCGCATATCAGCAGCATGACTGTCGCATATTCACATTAAAAAGTGTGAAGGGTTATGCGAACGCCTTCGCATTTTTAACTTTCGCACAATGTCAGTTGCACAATTATCGCATAATTAACGCATAATGCTTTCGCAGTTTCTGGGATAAAAAAGTTAACTTGTAATCCAGCAGTGTGAAAAACTTATTCATTTTTCAGAACGACGCAGTGTAAGTGACCATTTCCTCAAGTATCTAACAGACTTTATTTATGTATGTAGCTTCTATTTCTATAATCCTTGTTTTGATTATTAGTAGGGAGATTGAGTGTTTAAGGAAAAAAATAAAAGCTGATCGAGGAAGATCATATATGAAGATCTCGACTTCAAGATTGGAAGATCTCGTCTAAGTCTTGATGAAATCATAAGGAAGCAAATCGGCTCCAAAATGAAAAGAGGAACTAAAGACTTCTTACCTTGAGAAGGTTATATATAAGTCTACGGCGACTCAATTGAATACTGCGGCAATAATTATATATCCTCATATTCTTAGACTCCATTGAGTGTTTGTGAGCGTTTTGTTTGTCTTTATTTTATTCAGTGATTATTTTACAAACACTTTTAGGGCTTAAGGATTAAAAATTTTTGTAGCTAGGAGTGATCCATAGCTATTTGTAGAGTGCACGTTTGGTGGCGGAAAAGTAGTTAATAGGGTCGAATATAGTATTTGCTTGATTAGGAGGGAGTCCAAGTCGTGTAAGTCCAAACAGTATTTTTTGCGCGCAAACCGATCTATTAATGAGAGAGCTAGTGGTAGTGAGGTTACACCATCGGAGGACTCTCTATCTTTGAATAAATGGAAGGTTAAAGCTGGCAAGGCCATGTTCGCTATCAAGACCACCATCGAGGAAGAGATGCTAGAGCACATTAGAGATGCGAAGACACCGAAGGACGCATGGGACACATTCGCGGGGTTGTTCTCGAAGAAGAACGACGCGAGGTTGCAACTTTTGGAGAACGAGCTTCTATCCATCACGCAACGAGACATGACGATAAACCAGTGTGCTAAGGTAAAGTCTCTTTGTCGTGAAATCTCTAAATTAGATTTTTCTGCTGGTATGTCGGATTCTCGGATAAGGAGAATAATCATTCATGGATTGAGCAAGAATATAGAAGTTTTATTGCTGCCGTGCAAGGTTGGCCAACCCAACCTTCTCTCGTAGAGTTGGAAAATTTGTTAGCTGACTAAGAAGCGTTAGCTAAGCAAATGTTCCAAGTCTCATCCAAGAATGATGAAGAATTATTTTTCGTAAAGAATATCAGAGGACACAATAAAAATTATTATTGGAGGAAAAGAAACGGCGCCGACAAAGATGAAGACGAGAGGAGTGCTCATTTAGGGGGAACATAGAGAAAAGAAAATTGGAGCGAACAAACTCAAGAAAATAGAAGATTTGAAGGAAAATGCTATAATTGTGGAAAGAAAGGCCACATAGCGAGGAATTGTTGGTCGAGGAAGAAGCCAGCGGAAGGAAATGCAGTCACGTCGGATGAGGCACACAAAAGTGAAGACGAATAGGATCTTGAAGCACTGTCAGCTGTAATTGAAGAAGAAGAAGTTGGTGAAGAAGTCGAGATGGATTTAACGGCAACGGTCGCTGAGCTTGACTCAGATGATGAGTGGATAAATAACTCTAGAAGCTCAAGTGACGAAACAAAAGACATGAAGGAATTATCAAATTCGGTCAAGTATAGTGAAGAACGTACAGTGACAGTTGACAACTTGATGCTGCCAATCTCCGACACTAGTGAAAAAGAATCGGCTAAGGAAGGTAGAGTTGAAGACGAGCTAATAAGTCACGGACAAGTCAACAAGCATTGGATAAGAGTAGAAGATCAGTCAAGTGTCAAGAACCCACAATCCCATAGATCAGTGAGAGTACGAGTACCAAGCCCAAAGTACACGAGGAAAATATTTACAAGCTCAAACTTATGTGAAGATGCGTTTCTCGACGTAAGGTGGCCGATAACAACGAACGAGCAAAAGTCGGTGTTGAGGGGGAGTGTTAAAATATCAACACCTCCTTTTGCGAAGGACCCGGAAGCATCTAGAACAATCTGGAAAAATGTGGAACGTCGTGGAACATTGTGGAAGGTTCTGGAAGCATCTAGAACGACTCGGAAAAATGTGGAAGGTTCCAGAATATTGTAGAAGGATCTAGAAGCATGTGGAACGTTTGGGAGTAATGTGGAGTCTTCTAGAGCCTTCCCAAATATTGTAGAGAACTGTAGTAGGGATATGTGTGTAGGAGTTTCGTAGAAGTATCTAAAATACCCAAGACATTAGATGTTCTAGAGAATTCCTTTAGAGGAGGTGGTGGCTATAAATAGAGGAGACCACCTCATTTGCAATGTATCCCAATAATCCAAGCATCTAAGAGTCTAAGTAAACTAGTGTGTGAGTGTCATAGTTTGTGTGTTTTGGTCTTGATAAGTGAAGTATTGTATCTTGGTCCATATAGTGTTTGTGTAATTACTTTGTTAATCTAATAAAGTAATTACGTTAGTGAGTGTCCCCAACCCAACACACCTTACATCTTTATTTCTCCCCCATTTATATTTCAATTTGGAATTAATTGAATTTGCACTTTCATCCACCTTTGAGGTAGAAAATTGGCTCTACAAAAATAAATTGTTGGAGGATTTCCCGTAAAACAATCCACCATATCCAGCATCAAGCACAGATATGTGGAATGATTAATATTTTTTTTTTTTTTTGTTTTTTGTGTGTTTATTGTCTTGAAATAGTTACAAGTTCATGTGAAACAATAAATGACCAATCCTTAAACGACTACATTCTCATTTCATCAGAAACTCAAAGTTAAATAAGAAACTTATTAAGGCTATAATCAAAGACAAACCTCTAAATTGACTATCCAATTATTTGCCCCTGATCCAAATCCACGATGCAAGTGATAACCGGGTAATGTCCCATCCAGACACACTTGAAAATTAATCCAAAGGAAAGATGTTAGCGTTGTTATAAGCAATCAGATAAATGAG